ATATACTCCCTCCTCTCGCCATTCTCTGCCAAAAACTATTCTTTCAAGAACCAACTCAAACGTTACTTTGTTCAGTTGCCTGAAACAGATAAATTTTCCCCTCACCTCCAGCTACCACAGAACTTTTTTATTGCATTTTCCACATTCTGGTCATCATTATATGTGGCTTTTTATTTATTTATTTATTTTTGGGTCTCTTCCACTAGACTCAGCATCCCCAAGGTAGGAACAGTTTCTGAGTCACCTCCGTTTCCCTACTGCCTTGATGATACTTGAATAATGGGTGATTAAAGACCATCCAGGGTGAGCTTTGCTATACCAAGCTTGAAAGATGCTACTTCTGGTAGATTTCTAGGGGCATGAGTTTTAGTCTTCTGCCTACGGAGGCTGTTTTTGCTGGAAGTTGATTCAGTGCCTATGGGAGTTTAAAACAAGGGTGGCAAATACATGGAGTGCTGCCACTTTCATTTCCTGTGCCTGGCAGGCATAGCTAATTGGTCACAACACATTCATACGGGTTTTAGAGTCCTTAGCACAGTTGAATGAAGTTGGTGCTTTAAAAGGAACCTATTTGCTTTCCCTGCTTTATGTCCTTAAGTGTGAGGTCAGGCTGCTTAAGCAATAGCTTGGACCATCATCCAAATGAGCTTGAAAGCCTTCAGGAATTCCTAGTGTTTTTTCTCTCTGGGGGTCACAGACCAGTCTTGGCCTTTCCAATGGGACTGGGGCAGATCTCTTCACATCCCACTGTTTACTGGGTGGGTTCTTATGTCCACGTCCCCAGAAGCCAGGATGCCTCTCAACTTCCCTCTGTCTGTAAAACGATGCTGAGTGTGATAGCAGCCAACACCAGTCTTCATTACTTAGGAGAATCTGTACCCTTTCTAGGTCTTCGTGGAAATTGGAGGAGGCCTTTTAGATCACTCAGCTGAAAGGTGGCAAAGTGACAGCCCATGCTGAAAGAAGCCTTCCGTCACGCTTACTTAATCCTCAGCGTGTTGGAAACAATTTTGAGTAGGTCGCCAACATTTAAAAATCTACAGTTCTGACTTAGAAAAATTAGAAGGCCTGCGGACACTGACTGAGTCAGGGGTCCCTCTGGTGCTCACTAGGAGGTGCTCACACAACACAGTCCCCACTCCATTCATTCACTTACATTGCCTGGCCTCTAGCCATTTAAGTTTGTAGCCACTGGTTTTATCTCTCTGTCCCTTTGCTCTCCTCCTGTCATACTAATTGGGGAACCTGGGCAACTGTGAGTAGGGTCAGGCGACTGTACGCTGAGGTCTAGAGAGGCCGCAGAAGCCACATGACCTGTCCAAAGTCACACAGCTTATCAATGGCAGGATTGGAACTGGAACCCTGATTTGCTCACTCCTGCCTTAACGTTCTTTCCACTCTCCATGTCACCTTCTCAGGACTTTGGATGACTGGCAGACCTAGAGGAGTCTGTGTGGTGTGGATAAAAAAGTGGCTGGAGAAAACAAATCTGGGCTTATATTCTGACTCTACCACTTGCTAGTTGGATAACCTTAAGTGAGTCTTTATCATAGAAGTTCGGTTCTCTATATGTAAATTAAAGATAGAGTGGAGTCATATCTCCCAGGATAATGATATTCTAAAGGCAGTATAGAAGGCAATAATCACATTTAGCCAAAAATCACAGTCAGCTTGAAAATCCTTTGGCAAGGAGCCATGAAGAAACCAACACATTGTCCTTTAGTAAGCTAACCAGAACAGCTGGGTTGAATACTAGATGGAAGAGTCGGCTTGTGTTTAGGGACCGTGCTGTAGAGGGACACTGCTCACAGTCAGTGGAAAGAGATGCTTGAGGGCACTCAGACCAACCCGGGGACCAGCAGAGTCATGGGTGTCATCACATCGCCACTTGCTCTCTCTGGAAGAGACACCTAGTGATTGGAACTGGTGCGCTATTTAAACCATGTCCTTTCTTCCTCTTCCTGGTGTTTGTGTGCAGTTTAATGTGTCTAAGTTACAGATCAGTGTCTGGCAGCTCCACACTAACGACACCTCACTTGCTTGCCTGGAGGGTTCAGTGAGCTTATGAATGTAGAACGCTTTGCCCTGGGCCTGGCACCATGGACGCTCAATAAATAGGGCCTCTTTGATGTTGCTGGTTCTGGTGAGGACCCAGAGATTCCTGGTGGTCTCAGCACTGAAGAAAGCCCTTGTCCATTTTTCCCCTGTGTGGAGCCACCCTGGTGTGGGCTGATTGTGTTGACCTCCCCATGTGGATAGGCTGCTATTCATATGTGAGAGAGTAGCAGAATAATCCTCAGCTTTGGATTTGAAAATAACCTTTGGGACTTCCAAGTCTTCCCAGAAGAAATTACCTGTTATCTGAGACTTTGGGCTTTGGGCCTGGTGGGACTACGAACTGCCTATATTGTTGTGTTCTCTCTGTGCAGGGTACAGAGTTTGCTCATTGAATGTCTCTTATTAGTCTGTAACTTTTCTGAAGATAGAGACTGTCCGTCCTAGTTACTGTTGGCTCTCTAGCTCGCAGTACAGTGCGGGGCACATAGTGGGATTCTGTGGATGACTGGTGGATTCGTCCTTGTGGGACAGAGTGACACAAATGTGTTTAGACTAGGGCACGGTTAAGGCTGTGGTTAAAGAAATTTCATGAAAGGTTAATTCTTTAGTGTGATGTAAATTACGGATTTTCCATAGCCCGGTAGGTTTTTAATGCACTGGCTTTACTGTTTTAATAAAAGGCAACAAAACTTCCAGTGGCCCTGCTATTTATCGGACACTGGGATGGGCACTGTGGATACAGAAATGAGTAAGATATAGTACTGACCCTAGTCGTATAAGCTAACGGGGGGCTGCCAGGTATAAGAACACGAACTACAACAATGTAGGATAACACATATATTAGAGGTACGTGCCAGTGGCTTAGGGAACGCAAGATTAGGGAGGTGATTCTTGGAGAGCAGGGATGGGGGCAGGGCACGATAAGCACACGTCAAGGAAGTCTTAACAGGTGAGGTGACATTGAGCTGATAGCTGAAGGACAAGTAGGGAATTGCAAGGTGGTCATGAGTTGTGTTCCTAGCCTCTCCCTAAATATGTGGAGGTCTTTAGGACAAGACTTTGGTTTTCATCATCTTTGCCTTGTTTCTAGACAGTCCAGTCAGATGGCCGAAAGCCAAAATACGCCCCCTCCCCATTCTCAATTTAGCTCTGTCATTCCCACGTGAAAGCAGCTGAGAGCCTCCTTTGAGTAGGCATGTTTTATGTCATCTAGATTTGTTGGGGATGACACAAAGAGCTCATTTTTCCAGATAACCCAGCGTGAGTACTGTTGGAGTCTTCGTTGTGTAAAAATAGCAGCCCCAGACGTTCACTCAACAAGCATTTACCAAGAGCCTTCTGTATCTAGTGCATATCATGCTTATTGTGGGTGTGGGGGAAAGAAGGGTGTGAACAGAAGAGCAGTAAGCTGTATTCCTTCCCCTTAGCGAGGCTGTAATCTCTCTGGGGACACACGTCCCTCTGATACCACCTAGAAAGTGGCAAGCTTGACAACGAGGGAAATGAAGAGGAGGAAAGAATTCCTTCTGGCATGAGTAATGTTATTCTTTTTTTAAATCTAGTTTGCATAAGAAGGCATAATTATAGACCTTGCTTCATGACACACCACCATCAGTAGTTGACCATTGTTTCACTGTTTACTGAGTGCTTCCTGTGTGTGTGGAGCGCTGTGCCAGGCCCCTTAGGAAGCCTGTGATCTAGTGGGTAGATAATTGTCAAGTATGGTCTGGGTAGCGATACAGAAGGTGGCATGCGAACCTGTGGCTGAGGACTGAATCTTGGAAGAACGCAATTTAAGCTGAGACCTAACTAGTTGAAGAAAGGGAAGAGACTGTTCCCGAAGGAGACCCCAACATGTCGGAGTGTTCAGAGGGCAGCACGATGCAGGAACTGCGGGCTGTGCCGCCGAAACACAGTGACTGGTGGGAGCAGGGTAGAGAAATGGGGTTTGGGCAAGGTTTGCCCTTGATTCTGAGGGAAATGGGAGGCCACTGAAGGGTGCTTAGCAGTGAAGTGACATAGTCAGATTTTGATCTAGTCTGGTTGTTGTGCAAAGAACGGGCCGGGGGTTAGGGTGAGGGGAGTGGAGGCAGGGACGTGAGAGAAGATGCTGATCAAGTGATAAATGTGCTGCTTCTCTGGACTGAGGAGGTGGCACTGGGAAAGTAAATGGTTAGAAGGCCGAGTGGACATGGTTTGGTGATGAGCTGGATGTGGAGGATCTTGGAGGAAGCTGAGGGCCAGGTTTCTGGCCTGAGTAGGTTGATGGACGGGGTGCCTGTCCTGGATGGAGCGCCCCAGGAAAGAGACAGGCTTGCCAGGGAAAAGGATGAACTCAGTTTTTGACCCAATGTGGTTGAGGTGCGTCAAGTGGAAATGTCTTGTAGGTGGTTGGGTTTTGGGGTCTGGAACCAGGTCCTGGTCGCAGTTTTGGGGAGTCAGATGGTGAAAACTGCCAGATGAGAGGATGACCAACGGGGAGCACAGAGTGAGAGGGGGAATTAGCAAAGAGAGCACCGTTAGAGGAAGACTAAAGCTTTACGGCCCAGGAAGAAAGGCCTCCGGAGGGGGTGGCGTTTGGATCCCAGCTGGAGGGAAGGTCAGACTTTGGACATGTGCAGAAGGGGAAAGGCTCGGCTGGGACCGCGGCCTGACGCCAGGCTAAGGCGTTTAGCGTGTCCCAGAGGAACTGACACTGTGCTGACTTCCCGGGGTGTGCTGGCTCTGGTGTTGGTGTCAGATGGTGGCCTAACTTCTTGCTTATGGAACAGGGGCATCCCTTCGCACCCCCACCCCATGCAGTGGCAGTGGTGGGTGCGGGGGAAGTGAGGGAGGTGAGGCTTCTGGGTCCTCTTGCTCACTGTCCTTTGTCCTTCTGCATTCAGAGCTTTGGAAAGCACTTCCTCTCCCAGGAGCCCGTTGAAGGACACCCTGTAGATGCAGGAAGACTTGCGATGTGGACAGCCCAGTTGAAGTGAGGCGTCCAGAATAGAGCATGGCTGTAGCCCTGGAATCCCAGGCCCAAGTCTCTCCCCCCACAGAGCTTGAAGAGCTCCTGATTGTGAAACTGGAGGAGGACTCGTGGAGGTCGGAATCCAGACCTCAGGAGAAAGTGTGTGACCCTGTCCCTGGCCCTGAGGCCTCCCGCCAGCGCTTCCGGCAGTTCCAGTACAGGGATGCATCTGGACCCCATGAGGCCTTCAGCCAGCTCTGGGCTCTCTGCTGTCGCTGGCTGAGGCCAGAGATCCGTCTCAAAGAGCAGATCTTGGAGCTGCTGGTCCTGGAGCAGTTCCTGACTATCCTACCCAGGGAGGTCCAGGCCTGGGTGCAGGCGCGCCACCCTGAGAGCGGCGAGGAGGCGGTGGCCCTGGTGGAGGACTGGCACCGGGAGGCCCGGGCTGCAGGGCAGCAGGTGAGGCAAACAGTCTGTTCTCCGAAAGCAGACCTGGCAAGGCAGCGGGGCTGGGACTAGGTTAATAATTGCCAAAATAATAATTATTGTATTGAGCAACTGACACTTATTAAGCATGACTATGTACCAGCCATTGTTCTAAGTACTTTCTATGCATTAATTCATTTAATCCTGTCAACACTTTAATGAGATAGGTACTGTTATCCTAGTTTTACCAATGAGGGAGGAAATGGAGACAGATAAAAGATGGGTAATTGGCTCAAGGTCACATGGGTGGCAGAGCCAGGATTTGAACTTTGGCAGTCTGGCTTTAAAGCCAACATTCAAAACCACTGCTCTAAACTGCTTCCCGGTACTGTGTTCACAGTACTGTTGATTTGTATTATCTTTTATACTTAACAGAATCTTTTTACATGTGCGATCTCTTTGGATGCTTATAGCACTAATGTAGGTAGACAGAAATAGCATTATTGTCTCCATAATTTATAGATTAAACTAAGTTCCTTAAAGTCAGGTGGTTCACCAAGCTGAGTCAGTATAAACCATAGCCTGAACCCAGATCCTTAGGTTCCAAGTCCATTGTTCTATCTACTACATCACGGATGCCTCTTCTGGAAACCATAGGAATTAAAATACCTCCGAGTCATGAGGCTCAAATAAATATTAACTGACATTTATTGAGCACTCATTGTGTATCAGACACTGTTCTGAGCTTTCTATATGTATTGCCTATCTAATTTACTCAGCAACCTGATAAAGCAGGTGCTATTACCATTGCCATTTTTCAAATGGGTGAACAAAGACTCAGAGAGGTAAATAACTTGTCCACATTTATATTGAAACTCACAATTTGCAAGAGACCCTGAAGGCCCATGATATGATTTCTAATTTTGCTTTGACACACATTGTGAATCCTGCTTTGAAGCCGGTGTCTGTAGAACAAGCCCTCTGGCCAGCTGCAGGCGGGGCCAGCTCCCCAGAACCTCCACCTCAACGTAGCCCTGGTGCTCCCACTTGTTAAATAGTAATTCTTGTGATATTATCCTTAATCACATTTTGTTGGGGGCACATGTTGAGAACCTGTCCCTTTGCAAATGGCAGGGGGTTTTTGTACATCACAAAATAGATGTGAGATTAGAGGAAGAAAGGTTAAAATTAGGCCCATGGCTTTGCTTTTTGGATTCCTTTACAAACTGATGGAAGATACAGAGAGCATAACATTTAAAGTTACAGAACTAAGTATGAGAGAACATACCTTATTTTAATACGCCGCCCAGCCATTTGCCTGCAGTGCCAGTGAAGAAACAGATGGAAGCCTTAGGACTTCAGGGCTGGAAGAGGAAGACCGTGAGACCCAGGGATGAGAATTGACTTAAGTCAAGGTCTTTATGATTATGCATCTGTAAGATGAGAAGGTTGGACTATACCAAAAATTCTCAAATTATACCCACTGTGAGCTGGAGACTGAAAAAAAAGATAAGGTAATGAAACCTTCTCTATAATGCATTTTTTCCTGTGACTTCAATTTTTTAACTTTCCCACCTGTTCCTGAGTGCTCACAAGAGTCAAAACAAATGGATAAGTAGCTTGTTTTCTGCCCACCCCCCTCCCCCAGATACATATGTTGTAGCTCATGATCTTCCATTGCAAGGTTCATAACTCACACAGCCTCCTTCATTATCGACAAACATCCCCCAGGGGAGTGGTACATTTGTTCCAATTGACAAATCTGCACTACATATAGTTGCTACCTTTTGTGTAAAAAAGGGGGAAGAAATAGGAATATATATTACACAGTTGCTTGTATATAAAGAAACTCTGAAAGGATGCAGAAAAAGAGTGCTTACCTGTGGGGACTAGTGGGGGAGAGAGGTGGGGCTGGGCTATTTTCACTGAATATACCTTTATGTATATTTTCTATTTTTGAACCACGTGAGTATTGAAAATCCCTATTAAAGACATTGAAATACATTTTTAAAAGTGGAGTATGTCTATAAGGCAATTGAAATTGTTATATTTTGGGGGATTTAGGGCCAGGAAATAATATCTGGACCTCTATCTCTGAATTTGTAACCAAATGAGAGAGATAAGAAATTAGTTTTATGATTGATAATGCTGAATTGGGTAATGCTGTCTCTTAATTGATTATTCCCTTTTATATATATTCTCTATATCTCTGAGTGCTTTTTTGACTGAACTTCTGCATTGAAATTAAAATTGCCTCTTCAGTTTTCCTTTGTAGTTAAAGTCCCTTATCTTTGCTTATCCTTCTGTTTTAAGAGAGATTTGCCTTCCTGAAACTTTCCTTTCATTTTAAAATTCCATCTGTAATTCTTTGTCCCTCCTTTTTTCTTATATTTAGTTCTGAATTTTCTTTTCCTTCAGCAGGAATACTTAGAGTAAGTACATTTAGAGTTATAGTTGTATTGGTTTTTATGCATTTCTTTGCTTTTTAATGCATACCTGGTAACTTTTATCTTTTTTTTTTTGTAACTTAAAAATTAAATAGCCTGTTTTTGATGGTTAGAGATTATTTGTAATGTCATAAAAATTTTACTTAATTCACCATTTTATGATACAGAAATGTTTTGAACAGTAGTGGCCTCATTGAGACACTTATATACCCTCCCTGTGCTGAACAAGACAGTACGCGTTCGCTAGTATAAATGCGAGTCTGTTACTGACATCGGTCTGGTGGCTTGTCATACATACTCTGAGTCATCTTTGGGCCTTTAAAAAGAGCCTTTTAACCTCAGGATCCTAGTTGTGCTCCAGAGAACATTTCCTGCCCTGCCACAGTTGGTCTTATTGAACTGATGATTGGGAATTTTGACCATCTGTGTTTAGGAGCTGACATTGTGTGGAGAAGAGACCAGGTCCTTAAAGGGCTCTCAGCTGCATTCAGCAGACCGCTGGCCCGAGAGACCGTCCCAGAGGCAGCAGGAGAGGAATCCATGCCCTGACCACCCCAAGCGTGTAGACACCAAGACGGCACCCCCGGCCTTGAAAGAGAGTGGTGAGTACCAGAAGTCGGGAACATCAAGGAAGGGGGGAGGGGTGCTAAGGAAGGGTGCCTGGGGAGGAGGGATGACTGAATTCAAGGCAAGGACTAGAATAGTGCCTCTTGGACACACTGAGAAGTGAGGCAGGTAAGTGTTGTTAAAGAAGATGACGCTCCCAATGATGTCAGCTTGTCCCCGCTCTGCTGAGTCACGCAGCAGGTTCGCGCTGGCGCTGGGGTGAGGTGGTGCTCATAGGAGCCGGGGCTGGCATCTCGCACATGGCATCACTCGAGGCAGCTTAGGCGCTAGATACTCTGGAAGGGAAGGAAAAGGGGAAGTTTGCCCTGGCTGAGGGATAGCCTCGGCTGGACCCGAGCAGGCCCTTGGGACAGCTGGACCCGAGAGGGTGGTTCTCTGGCTCCCAGAGCTCGGGTTTCAGAGACTTTTTCTTCTCCTCAGCTGTCCTCACTCCCCGAGTCCCCGCTCTCCCAAAGATGGGGAGCGCTGGAGATTGGGAGGTGACAGCTGAGTCCCAGGTAAGCTGCTCTTTGTTTTCCCTCTCCTGTCATGACTTCTTCTGTGCTTTGCCCCTTTCTCTGCGGCCTCCCCTCAGCAAAAGGGTCCAGGGCGTTAGCCTCTGCCCCCTTCCCCAGTCCTCTGGGCCTCTCCTTGGTCGTGCAGCCCCTCCTGATGCTAGGCTCACGCACAGTGTCTCTGTATTCCCGTGACCTTTCCTGGGGCCCGGTAGGGTTCCCAGGCTGTGACATTTGAGGTCCTTTTTTTTGTACATCTCACAGGAAGCCCAGGGCACTGGCAAATGTGCTGAAAAGGAGTTTCACAAGGAGCCCCGTGGAGACAACTGTGGGAATGGCGTGTCCCTGGGTAAGGAACTGGTGCCCTCTGCACCCAGTTCCCAAAGAGCGTTTCATCACCCCCTTAAGATCCGTGCCTCTGTGAGGTCTGTGGAATTTCAGACATCGGAAGAAGAGAGGCTTTTGGTAGCCAGCACTGGTGGCAGGGATGGAGTGGGGAGAGCAGCTGGCCCGGAGGGAGGCCGGCAGGGTGGCTTCCAAGAGCCTGCCTCTCGGGGCCTTCCCTTCCTTTCTTCGGTACATTGACCACGGTGCAGGGGCTGGGCCCTGCCTGCTGTCCCAGAGAGCCAGGCTCCTCAGTGTCAGACGGGACCCATCTCTCAGGGCCGTACTAAGTGAGCTAAGCCCATGAGACCGATGTACTGAACCACAGTGAGAAACACATATCACAGGACTCAAAATATTTGAAGCCCATAGGACCAGCAGACTCCTTTCGTGTGGGCGCATCTACACAGGAAACCAAATTAATAGTGAACCACTACCTGTAGGAGCTTGAGAGTTAGACACGTGACGGGGGATAAAGTAGAGGACACAGCGATAGGCCTAACTCATCCATGTCCGGAAGGTACGCCTCTTGAAGTTTGCGGCTTGACAGTGTGACCCCCCTCCCGCATCCCCTACTTGTACGTGTGATATCTGGGGAAAATCGCGTTCAAAGGAACAAACTTGGCAGAATGCTGAGCTAGATAATGCTTTGGCCCCTTTTAGCTCTAAACTTTTTCTTGTGTTCTTCAAATATTTATTTAATTAAAGAATTCCTATTTTGTTAGGGTTGGGAGCTGTTAGGACAGCAGTCCTTTAAATGCAGCAAACTGTTACAGAAAATAAGAAAACTTATTTTCTCACATTATTGGAAGTCCAGAGGAGGGCACGCTCCAACCACAGTATAGATTGGCTCAGCAACACCGTAGGTTCTTCCTTTCTCTCTGTTCTTCCACCCTCCGTCTCAGCTTTATATTAAAGCTATTGTGTGTCAGAGTCAAGAGATAGATGCCAACAGCAATTGAGGCAACAAGTTTCCTACTGAGGGAGGACTCACACCACACACACACATAGAGAGAGCGAGAGAGAGAGACCTTTCTTTCAACCATTGAATTCATTTTGATTGGGCCAATTTGAATCATATGCCCATCTGTAGACCAATAGCAGTGACTTTTTGTATGATGCATTTCATAACAACAAAAAAGCAAGTAAACAAAGCAAACAGGCCAATGAACATTTCTGGTGAAGTGCTCCTGTTACCTCTAGCTTCCTTTCTCTAACCCTCCAGGCATTTGATGGGATTAGCCTGGGAATTTCCTGTTGGCCTCTTACAGGGAAATGTTTTCAGGGACATTTTGGGCTAGCACGCTGCTCAACAAATCATTTCTGTCATTTCTTTTTATATAGGAGTTCTAGTTTCAAAACCAAATACCATCTCCCAACAAGAGCCAGGACCAGAATTTTGGGGTCCAAGTCTTATAAATTCTGGAAAAAGGAATGCTGCAGACTACGGCCTGGATAGCGAGCAGATAAAGCCGGCTCCAGCACCGGCCTGGAGGGACTCGAAGGCCTGGGAAGACCACCACCAGTGGGACGTGGAGGACACGAAGGTGTCGGGTGTGCACTGGGGCTATGAGGAGACCAAGACTTTTCTGGCAATTTTGAGTGAGTCCCCTTTCTCTGAAAAGCTCCGGACTTGTCACCAGAACCGCCAGGTGTACCGGGCCATAGCAGAGCGGCTGAGGGCACGGGGCTTCCTGCGGACACTGGAGCAGTGTCGCTACAGGGTCAAAAACCTCCTACGGAATTACCGGAAAGCCAAGAGCAGCCACCCACCGGGAACCTGTCCCTTCTACGAGGAACTGGAGGCCCTGGTGAGGGCTCGGTCGGCCATCAGAGCCACAGACGGTCCAGGAGAGGCTGTGGCACTCCCCAGGCTGGGGGACAGTGATGCAGAGATGGAGGAGCAAGAGGAAGGGAGCTGGGAGCCAGAGGAAGCGGCAGAGGACTGTAATGGTGATGACCTGGCCATTGACGAGTCCGTCCAGGGGCCCAGGATTCCTGGGGGTCCGGCTCTGTTCCAGAGTCGTGTTGGTAAGAACACAGGCATTTAATCCGATCCAGATTCCAACCCTCTTACTAGCCAAGCCTCTGCTCCGTGAGTTCAGGGCACAGGAGTCTGGACTGATGCTGCTAGAGTAAGGCGCCCCGTTCCTTTGGTCTTCCTCAGACTTCTACTCTCTTCTGTGACCAGTTCTCATTGTACAGATTTTCTTAGCTATAGAAACAGCTGTTTTTAAAACCCTAAAGGACCTTAAAGATCTAATTCAGTGTTTCCCAAAATGCATACGGGGATGATCATAGGTGTTACATGAGGAAACCTTTAATTGTAATGTGTATGAACACATCAGCCGTGATTTCACATGTCGTCAATTTAGGTAAAGAAAGATACTGAGTGAAATATATAACAGAGCAGAAACCGTGACAGCATATAGTTGAATAATTGGTGTTTGGGAAACACCCAGGTCGCTGTGAAAGTGGGAGCACTGAAGCCTAAGGGATGAAGCGTCTTCTCTCAAGATCTGAGGGAGGCCGGGGCAGAGTCAGGGTGGGAGCCCAGGGCTCCAGCCTCCTGTTCTGTGGTCCTCCGTCCACCGTGCTGCCTTCCTGGCTGCATCACGCACGGGCGGAGGACCTGCGCACAGACCACTTTCTTTTCCTGCTTCCACAGAAGAGGAAAGGGCATCCTCAGTTGGACTGTAATGCGATTATCTGAACTTCATTCATGTCTTTAGGCACTCTCAGTTCCCATGTTTGTTACAAGGAAAATTTGTGAAAGTAAGTAGAGGACATGTATTGAGTGGATATAAGCAAAGTCTCTGGTATCCCAGTTTACAGGCCTTTCCCCGAACCAGTCAGCTGAAGCCAGGGGAACGGGGTCACCTGGTATAATATGGACAACTAAGTCCTCCCCTTTAGCCAAGACTCACAGAATTTCTTAGAAGGAGTGGGGGTGGGGGAGCTCTGGCATAGCCCAGAGAGGTAAGGGTATGTTCTTTGTTGGTGCCCCTGGTACCTGGATAATTTCTGAGGTGCCTGTGTTCTAGGCATTTAACAGGGCAGGTGACCCTGAGCCCTGATGACTTAGGCAAGTCTCATTAAGTCTCACAATTCTAAACTCTTCACTCCTGACAGCAGGTGTGCACTGGGGCTATGAGGAAACCAAGGCCTTCCTGACCATCCTCAGTGAGTCCCCATTTCCTGAAAAGCTTCGCACCTGTCACCAGAACAGCCAGGTGTACCGGGCCATTGCAGAGCGACTGTGTGCACGGGGCTTCCTGCGGACACTGGAGCAGTGTCGCTACAGATTCAAAAACCTCCTTCGAAGCTACAGGAAAGCCAAGAGCAGCCACCCGCCGGGGACATGCCCCTTCTATGAGGAGCTAGACTCACTGGTGAGGGCGCGGACAGCAGTCAGAGCCATGGGGACCATTAGAGAGGCAGCAGGTCTCCCTGCGTCTCGGTGGAGCAGTACAGAGGCTGATGACCAGGAGGCCTGGGATGAGACGGCAGATGAAGATGGCATCAAACCTCCAACCCCGTGTCTGAAAACCCCAGACACTGGTAAGCATGGAGTAATGGGATGTCCACAACATCCGCAAGCACGCGGGCAGGGTGACGGAGCCAGGCTTGTTACCTTGTCGCTGGACTAAAACAGAATGGAATTGAATAGGAAAAGTATCTGTACTTTGCTCAGATTATGTCTTGCTCAGTGTAATCCCCTAAATGAGACAAGCAGACTGACCTGGGTTTTGCTGGAATTCATTTGTGCAATTACGGAGTTTGCTCAGTCTCGTATCACGTAGGATGTACTGATTGTACTAGAAGAAGGAGGTGTTCAATATCAAATAGTGGGATAAGGGACTTGGCCAGGGAGACTGACTGGCTGGCTGTTTTGGTGGGGTCAATAGGTCTCAGAGTCTGTTCCTCAGCTTTGCAGGTCCGGAATGCGTGCATGCGCCAAAACTTGATCAGTTTCATGTTAGCCACATTTATAAGATGTGACATATAAAATATAAGATGCAAATTCATGTTAGCCAAATTCACAAGGCATAAGATATGGATATATATAAAAAGACACTTAACTAATGAATGAAAAAAAAAAAGCTATATTTCTTGTTCATTCTTTCAGGTTTTGAGGGGAGGCATGAGGATGAAGACCAGAGCTCAGAGCAGGATATTTTTGAGGATTTTCCTGGAGCATTATCCAAGTGCGCTACAGAAGTGGTCGGCCGCCCTCGCCATTTGGGGGAAGACAGTGACAATGACAATGAAGGCGAAGAGCAGTCAGGAAATCTCCCGCAGGAACAGTGGGAGGAATGTTCTTCTGAAGAAGACTTAGAAAAACTTATTGACCATCAAGGCTTGTACCTTGCAGAGAAACCCTACAAGTGTGACACGTGTGTGAAAAGCTTCAGTCAGACCTCCCACTTCATCGCCCACCAGGGGACACACACAGGTGAGAAGCCCTACAAATTCCTCAAATGCGAGAAGAGCTTTAGTGACCGCTGCAACCTCAATACCCACCAGAGAATTCACACTGGAGAGGAGCCCTACGGATGCCTCGAATGTGGGAAAAGCTTTAGTGACCACTCCAGTCTTGCGGCCCACCAGAGAACCCACCCCGGGGCAAAGCCCTACAAATGTGGGGAATGTTGGAAAAGCTTCAACCAGAGCTCAAACCTTCTGAAACATCAGAGAGTCCATTTGGGAGGAAATCCTGACTGCTGTAGTGAGCCTGGGGAAAGCTTTGGCCAAAGCAAGTCTTTTAGTGCTCACTGGAGGAACTTGACAGAGGAGACATCTCCTGAACAACCTCATAGTGTCCATAAGAACTTGAATTCTGGTCCGCACAGCACCAACTCAGGGGAGAAACTTTATCAGTGTTCTGAATGTGGAAGAACCTTCTCCAAGAGCTCTGCCCTCATTAGTCACCAAAGAATCCATACGGGAGAGAAACCATATGAATGTGCTGAATGTGGGAAAAGCTTCAGTAAGAGCTCCACGTTGGCTAATCACCAGCGAACCCACACTGGGGAGAAGCCGTATAAGTGTGCGGACTGTGGGAAGTGCTTCAGTGAGCGCTCTAAACTCATCACACACCAGAGAGTGCACACGGGAGAGAAGCCCTACAAATGCCTTGAGTGTGGGAAATTCTTCCGTGACCGTTCTAATCTCATTACTCACCAGAGGATTCACACGGGAGAGAAGCCCTACAAGTGCAGAGAGTGTGGGAAATGCTTTAACCAGAGCTCTAGTCTTATTATTCACCAGAGAATCCACACTGGGGAAAAACCCTACAAGTGCTTGGAGTGCGGCAAAGACTTTAACAACAGCTCCCACTTCAGTGCCCACCGGAGAACCCATGCAGGAGGGAAAGCGTCATAGGAGACACAACAAAAGAGAGAAATGTGTATTTAAATCTCCCAAGATTATAAGGTGTATGATAGAAAGAAACATTCCCAATTTTTAAGCTTCGTGTATATCCAGGGAAGTCATCTTGATATAACCCAGGTAATTTGGAAGTGAATTACAAATGCTAAGGATCCAGACTTGCAGGCACATTTCTTAAGTGTAATTTTTATTCTCCTGTAAAAAATCTACACTCAGTCCTCAGGCTGTCCTTACATTTGTTTAAGGGCTTTATCCATGTCTGAGCCAAACTGATCACTTAGGGAGTTAGAGGCAGATCAGTGGTGCTGAGCAATGATTCCAAACCTCGCTGTGCCTTCACACCGTCCGTGTGTACGCACGCCCCAGCAGCACGCACACCCCAGCAGCACACGATGCACATTCTCCTGCATGGCAGTGTTTAGTGGGATGTGTCCTCAGAGGAGAATGAGACTCCGGTGAGAGGGCGTGATTGAGAGCCTGGCCTGGAGCAGGCCACCATGAGCTCAGCGGAAAGTAGGAATGGCAGTTACATATACTCCTGTTACTAAGTCATTGTTAACAGTAGCAAAAATAGCCAGTATTTATTGAGCGTTAGCTCTTCAGCAGGTTCTGTGCTAAGCACTTTATACACACGGTCTCATTTAATCCTCACAACAGCCCCAGGAGGTAGGTACTAACAGTCCCCCCATTTCCCAGAAGAGAAAAGCTAGGCTTGGGGAACAAGCAGCTTGCTTGGGTCACGCATCTGAAAAGGGCAGAGGCAGGATCCAGCCAGACCTGCCTGTCAGAGCCTGAGGCGCCCTCACGACCTCAGTGACCCCTCTCACATTAGGGCAGGTCAGTCGGGAGCCAGGACCTCCAAACACTTTGTGGATCCTCCGTCCTGTTGAAACTCCTTTATGAATTCTAAAGACTAGAGGGCTTGGGCTATTCAGAGCTGGCAGTGTGTTTTGGGCGAGGATGAATGATTACTAAAGCACTTGATGTGAATTTGTCTTTACTGTAATGTGGGTGAGAGATGCAGGTGGGCTGAGATTGGGAAACGTGGCCAGAGTGATGTTTCTCCCCACGAGATGCTGCTTTGGCTGCTTTGGGAAAGGGAGGGGGCTGAGAATTTCCCTTTTCTCAGGGCGTCAGTCCTGTTTGTTGTTACCTTTGGGTAAATTGTTAAGTTAAACCTTATGGAAACACGGCCTTCCTCACCTGTGTTCACTCATCCTGTGTCTTTGTCTCCCTGGCCCTTTCCCTCTTGGCCCAGCCGAAGCTTTGTTTCTGATCCCCAGGCCAGGACGGAGGTGGGAGGGAGGGGTGGTTCTGCGGTACACTACTGCCCGGGCTTTGAGTAAGGTCCTTCCTGAGCCATCTTGTCCCAGGCCTACCCTGTGCTTTCGAAATGTGGGCCGTTAGGACCAAGCTGCCCACACAGATGGGCTAAATCTGAAGGTTCACTCACAAAGGATGGTTTTCTGCTTTTCAGCATTTTGGCCTCTGGAGTTTCTCCTTAGGAGGGTTCAGAAATGTTGACCAAGGACTTTGGTTTCCACTGGGTTTTAAAGGAAAGTCCCTCTCCTGACATTGGCCTTTGACTCCGGGGTGCCATCCCTGCCCTGGCTATTTCACGGACTTGGGAAGGACCTATCAGACAGTGGATGTGATGGAACCTCGATGAGCGGAACTTGGTGTTCCCCATGAGAGGAAGTCAGTGGAGAGATCCGCACTCCCGTTTTGTGGAGATCGCTCCTTCACCCCGTCCTCCGCCTCCCGGGGGCCAGTTGGCCTGGGGTCACTGCCTGTAGGCGCCTTCCTGGCTTACCTTTCTTGGCTCCCATGGTCTCTGAAGGCGGGGGTCGTGGGTGAGCCCTGGACTGGAATGAGCAGATGTCAGAAACTGCAGTAATAGCATGAAACCGGGAACCAATGGTGCGAGATGAAAGGAAGGTCCCAAAGGCGGGGGAGGTGTTCCGGGGAAAGCACCGAGGCGTGAAATGCCACGGAATCAAGGCGAGCGTGGGGACCTTAGTTCTTAGCACTGTTGGGGTGGAAGATGGGAGGAGGGGAGTGGTGGGAGCTGCGACTGAGGGCTGCTGGGCCAGGATCACGGGGGACCTCATGTCTGAGTGGGGCTTGGACACCCGGTTGAGGGCGACGAGGTCGGAATGACATCACAGCCTCATGGCTGAATGGAACTTGGATGGGCTCCAGTTAGGACGATCTGTGGGGACAGCAGTGCAACAGACCAGTTGAAAGGGAGGGTCTGAACTAGGGAGTGGTTGGATTTGAGAAGGGGGTGGGGTTGGCAGGTGTCCGAGGCAGAGTTGACAGCCAAGGAAAGCTACAGGGCCTTGGTGACAGCAGCCGGAGTGTCCCGCCTGCGGTCAGCTGTGAATGTGGCCCAACAGAATCATAAATTTACTTGAAACATGAGTTTTGGTTTTGTTTGTGACGATGTGTTGCAATGTATTTAACGTGTGGCCCAAGACAACTCTTTTGCAGTGTGGCCCAGAGATGCCAAAAGGTTGGACCCTCCTGGGTAGGGCGTGGCATTCAGAGTTGGGAACACAGGGGGGAGGCAGGAGGCAGGAGACAGGAGACGGTAAGTTTGGTTTGTGACATTTGCAACTTAGGGAGCCTAGAGGACGTTGTGTAGCGGGATGCAGCAGGCCTTCGGACAGCTGGGCCTGAAGCCGTGGGGAGGACAGGCGTTCTCTGGGTGTGTACGGCCGTCACACTCGTGAGAAAGGGAGTACAGGCAATCGCAGAAGTGTAGGGGCCAGGGCAGAACTTGAGAAGCACCAAACGGAGAGGAAGATGCCCCTCAAACAGACGTAGACTCCCTGCTGCGCCCTCCTGCCACCTTTTGGACACCGCCTCCATCGCTGCTGACACCCAAGTAGCCCCGCGTCTTCGGAGCCTTCACTGTGGAAGCCATACTGAGCTCTGTGGAGAAGCAAGATGGTCGCCGCCCCCTGCCCCCCCCCCCCCCACCGACTGTCACTGTTCCGCTGCCCTTGGGAGTGTGCCAGCATCTCGTGTTTCCAGGGAACAGATGCTCACTACCTGTCTCCTTTCCCATAACTTAATTGTCGGTCCAGGCAGGAAAGCGAGGGCAGCATCGGGGGCCAGGACAGAAAACGGGCCGGGTGGACCTTCCCTGTGTACCTGCCTGCCTTTGAAGGGGTGCCTCTCAGGTGGCTTCTGTGTTGGGGACCCATCCCTTTGCAGGGCACCCAGCCATCCTCCTGCAGGTCTTGCTGCTCAAATAAACTGGTATCTGGTTTTGCACGTCTTGAGCTTTGTTAACGTGCGTCTGCCCTTGGGAAGTGGACTCCAGGCGCAGAGCACATGGGCAGTTTCTCAGCCTGCGCGGCCACAGGCCAGACCCTGGTCCTGGCAGACCGAAGCCGCGACTGCCCCCCTGGGAGGGTGTGCCACGTGGGCCGCACCCCCTTACTCAGTGCTGGTCCCTGCACCCCAAGAAGGGCCTTGGCTCCTCGGAGGGGACGGAAAGGCACTCCGGAATGACTCACTCCACAGATCGCTCAGCAGGCAGCCCCAGGGATCTGTGCAGGGACAGGTGCTTTAGACAGACACCCAGTTTTCCTGAGGCCTTGGCCCCAGCTGCTGGACTCACTCGCGCTGTCTTAGCCTTAACATCTCCCATGTCCTGCCGCCTGAAAACGAGTAAGGCAACTGGGGTCCTCCCATGCTGGAAAACGCAGCAGTCGGGGTCCCTGGGTTCTCCCCACCCCATTGTGTTCTGGGACCCCCAGTGGGGACATAGCTCCCTGCCTTCAGGCTGCAGGAATGTTTATATTAGCCACTTTGTAAACAAGAGCATCTCCCTTTGGGTGCAGAAGGGGGTGCAGATGGTTTGGAGTCATGATGGCAGCGGTGGCCAGAGGGGGTGTGGGTGTCATGGGTGGTCTCACACTACCCAGGCTGCCCTGCGTCTCTGTGCTCTGTGCTTCTGTCCTAGCCCCACCTCTCCATCGCTCCGTTTGCTCTATTCCATCTGTGTTCTTAGCGCTGTGCTGATGCTGATGACTTCCAGATCTGTCTCCTGCCCTGGGCGCCCCTCCTAGGAGCCCGGTCGCCTGCCTGCCAGCCCTCCTTAGATGACCCTTGGGCCCCTCCAGCTGCCACGTCCACCTGCAGCCTCTTCAGCCACTTGTTCAGCACATGTATTTATATACACATGCAGGAACCCGCAAACATTCCTCACACAGCCCAGCGAGCCTTACACATTCAGACTCATCACAGTCTGTCCCTTGGACACACCTCTCCCTTCTAAAAGCATTTTTCCAATTAGGCTGCAGTTACCCAGCTGCCTGGGAGAGGCTTTTTCTGAATGCAGCTGGTACCTTCAGTCAGAGTTAGTCCTGTGAAACATCCACTCACCTCATTTTTGATCCCCTTGTCCCTTTGGACGTCCCTTACTCCCTCTCCTCTTAGAAGCAAATGCCAGTCTGAAGCCCCTGCCACAGCCCGCTACTGGAGGTTGGCGCTGCATTTAGTGGGAGGTCAGGGAAGCTTAGCAGGAGAGGTGAGGTTCGGGCTGGCCTCTGGAGCCTGGGGTGGCGGACATTTTAGCCTTCCACACAGCTCCCGGCTGTTTTACACGCCCGCCGTCAGTATCACCACTAGCACACAGACCGCACCATCCCCCACCCCCCAACACTCCCTGTCACTGATTTTAGACAAATCTGGAGTTACTTCCAAATGCACATTCTAGGGGGTAGAGGCACATTCTTCCTCACCTCACCATCCCTCCCACCACCTCACGCTTCAGCTGAGTGATGACCCCCCATTTCTTTCTAGTATATCTTCCACCTGGTCCAGGTCAGGAGCCCTAGAAGGAGCCCGCCCCCCAGCGACCCCATCCTGTGCTGCTTGGAGGAACAGGCAGAGAGCTTAAGAGGCCCCTCTCCTCGGCGGCGTGTGGTCAGTTCTTTATTTCTCAAGGCTGAGCCGCTTTCTTCTAAGTATCGCTTGGTTACGTCAAGAGCACCAGAACAGTCAAGGGCGGGCTCCAGGGAAAGATTTTGCCTATACTCACTGTACAGGTAGAACTGGGGTCCAATGTAGACAA